AGAAAGTCTGTATGAGCTCATAATGTCAATGTATGACAAAGAATCATAAGAGAGAAACTAACTTTGATTTATCTTCCTACATGAATATCCTGCCAATGTAAGACAATTAGATATCAAGAAGCAACCAGTTGAAGGTAGTTTGATCCCTACCCTTACAATTTTTAAACAGAAATAATATTGAAAACAAAAATCTTGTTGAAGGTAGTTTGATCCCTACCCTTACAATTTTTAAACAGAAATAATATTGAAAACAAAAATCTTGTATTTTGTAGTTTGATCCCTACCCTTACAATTTTTAAACAGAAATAATATTGAAAACAAAAATCTTGTATTTTCCCAAGAAACTAAGTGAAACTAGAAGTGAAACTAACCTTAGAGAAGTTGAACCTTTTCCTTTGGAATACATTTGTATTTGGAATTTGATAGCACAAAAAAAGAACACCGTAGCATCACTCCTTTTTGCTTCATGTCTTTCCATATGAGTCATTAACAACACTTCATCCTCTTCTTCCAGCTCTACATAATTCAATTTCTTATTCATCTTTGGACATTCATATTGAAAATGACCTAAGTCATGACACCTATAACATTCAACAGTTGCTTTGTTGAAAGTTGATTTTCCTCTTCCGCATCCTCTACCCTATAAGTTCCTCTTCCCTGTTACTTATTTTCATTCGTCCTTCGAATTTTAGAACTTGCTCCTCTCCATTAATGCTGGATCTTCGAAATTTTTGTTCATGCACCACTAATGAACTTTGTAATTCATTAATGGACATGTTATCAGTATCTTTAGATTCCTCAATGGATACTATAACATAAGTAAATTTTTCAGTTAGGTACACATAATTTTTTTTACAATTTTCTTGTCTGGCATATCTTCTCCATTTCTCATCTTGTTGGAGATTATCATCACTCTTTTAAAATAATCTGTAATACTTTCATACTTAACTTGTTGGAGATTATCATCATTCTTGCAAAATAATATGTGATACTTTCATACTTCTTCATCCGTAGGATCTCAAATTCTCTCCTTAATGTATCAAGAAGAGATTTCTTCACTTTTTGGTTTCCACCAAATTTTCGTTTCATTGAGTCTCATTGAGTCCCAAACAATCTTGGCAGTGCGACGATCCAAGATTTGTTCAAAGACCGTATGATTAATTGCTTGGAATAGGTAATGCTCTATTTGGTGATCTTTGTGTCTAGCATCATCAAGGTGGCCCTTTTGTGCCTCAGTCAATATTGTTCTTTCCTCTCGTTCTAATAAACAAATCTCCACCACACTCCATGGACAATTTTCTCTGAGCAAACTTTCCATAAGCTCACTTCAATCATCATAATGACCATCGTGAGGGATCTTCGCTAAAGTTTTGTCTTCACTCATACTCTCTCTATTTGATCACTAAAAAATTGATGCTCTGATCCTAATTGTTAGGTTTTGATAGAAGAAACATAATCAATTGAAGTTTGAAGTG